TTGATAAAATTGATGTATGGATTGTTATAAGAGCTGTAAGAGCCCCCACTAAAATGATATATATATGGATTCTGATTCATAGTGCCCCTATAGGACAGAGTAGAACTGCCCCTGTGGGTTTCCAAGGCTGTAATCTTTATAGGCTTGGGAAGCCTCTCTTTCTCCCTCAGAGTAGCTGGTGGTCTCAACTGCTGGCCTTGTGGTTAATAGCCCGATGCTTACCCCCTCCACCCAGAAGCTCCTTAGAAGTGAAGACCCTGAGAGTTTGGCTGGCTTTTTGTGAATCTATCATCAGAAAAGACCAATCGCTAGAAACGAGCGGCATGTTGAGCAGAATACCAGTGGAAACGAGGACCCCTCGCTGAGAGGGGTTGGCACCAGGGCTACAGCAATGATCTCAAATATACACCAACCGCCAGGGAGGAGGAGCAGGAGGAGATGCTGCTGTCATGACCAGGAGCTCCTCAGAACGGCTTGGCTTGATGGCAGCAGCCTGACAGCCCCCACTGACTTGATGGCCGCCACAACAAAACAGCTCACACGTAGTAACTCAAAATGCCAAATTCTTAGAGAAAGGGAACGGGGCAGTCTTTGACTCGGGTGACCCTCTTGGTTATAATCTATCCCCAAAGCATGCGTTTCCGGACAGTTGATGTTTACTCTTTAGGTGCCATTATGATTGAAGCGTGCCACCCCCCAAATATGTGTTGTCATTTCTTATCCCTCTGCTTGTGTATGAAGGAGCCCTGAGGGCACAAGTAGGCTACATGTTGAGCTGCTAACCACAAGGTCAGTGGTTTGAAACCATCAGCCACTCCACAAGAGAAAGATGAGGCTTCCTATTCCTGTAAAGATTTACAGCCTCAGAAGCCTACAGGGGCAGTTCTATACTATTTCACAGGGTTGCTCTGAGCTGTCATCAACTGGATGGCAGTGAGTTTGGCTGAAGGAGTCCTGGCAATGTAATGGGTTATGAGTTGGCTTACTGACCGCAAGGTCAGCAGTTAGAAACCCCCATGGCCCCAAAGGAAAAAAAAAAGGCTTTCCACTCCTATAAAGAGTTCGAATCTTGGAAACTCACAGGGCCAGTTCTACCTTGTCCTATAGAGTTGCTCTGAGTCAGAGTTCACAGGATGGCAGTGTGAGATAGCTTAGATGGTGCCTTTACTCGTAGAGCTGTCTCACGTCTGCCTTTTAACCGGGCATTGAGGTTCATGGAAGGCAGCCCCAGACTGCCACTGTGGCCCCTGTCTCTTCAACCCAGTCTCTTCTGTGGGTACCTACCTGGCACTCTCCTTATCACTACCTCAAATTCGATTACAGACTTCATTGTGCCAGACGATCCTAAATGGGCACAGTGTCTCCCTTCAAGCACCTGACCTCTCTGCAGCTTATCTAGCAAACTTTAATTGCCCACATTCTAGGTCTCCCTAAACATGGCCTGTTTTCACTTCAGGACTTGCCCTTGAAGTTGTCATTTTTCTAAATGAGTCACTTTTATCAGCTGCTTTTGTGTGATTTTCCTCTCTGCTAAAAGTGGAGCACAGAGAAATTGCAGCATCTATTAGATGGGGGCTCTGCTGTTTTCAGAGCCTGTACACAGAGTACCAAGCCACCTGACAGATGGGCTTGATTATCCCAACTCAGCTGGCACACAGTAGACCCAGAAGAGGCTCAGGGGAGCACCCCCACCCCCTGGACATGTGCCCATGTAGCATCCTAGTTCCTGTGAGTTCTTTGAAAGTAGGGATGAGGACATGTTCATCTTTGTCCCCTTGGTGCCTGGCACAATTTCTGAAATATAGGAGGTACTCAGTATATGGTTATGAAATTAGTAAAAGGAAGAGGGGAAGGAGGGAAAGGAAATGGAGAGGGGCAGAACTGAGAATGAGAAAGATCCGAGTTTTCTAAGGTATCAAGAAGATGATGGATAGACAGACAGATGCCATCAAGTCAATTCTGACACTTGGTGACCTTATGCTCAGCAGAATGAAATGCTGCCCAATCCTGCATCCTACTCAGGATTGTAGCATGCTTCAGCCCATCATTGCAGCTACTGTGCCCATCCGTCTCACCCTCGACATCTCTGGCCCTCTACCTCACCAAACGTGATGCCCTCCTCCTGCAACTGACCTCTCCCAATGTGTCCAAAGTAGGCGTGTCAGTGTTCTCCCATAATCCATCCTCAAGTGTTGCAAATAGATCAGCTAATTTGTCTTTGTCTGAGAGCTCTGCTGAAACCTGTCCACCGTAGATTTACCCTCAGGTATTTGAAATACTGGTGGCAGAGCCTCCCGCTTCCAGCATCACAGGAACACACACACCGCTGTGGGATGGCGTGCTGGCAGAAGTGAATCAAGAAGCTGTCGACAGAACATTGGATGGTGTCAAATGAAGGATTTGCTACACGGGATTGTTGCTCCTTCAGTATGTGTGAAATTCCCACCCAGGGATTATCGGATGTTCGGGAAGAATCTGATACTTAAACGCTGAAATAAATACCACAGACTTGGAGGGTTTTCAATTTGGTAAGAAATAACATTATGTAACAAGAAACATCTCAGTCTGTTCTTAAAGACTGTGATTATAAGGAGAAAAAACACAGCCTTTGGAAGAAATACAGGCTCATGAACAGCTGTGGCAATGGACTTGTTAACACAATGCACGTTGAATTGAAAATCAAATGATGTAGATCTTAGTTTCCTACCATCGTCTCTCTCTCGTCCCTAAAGCGATCCCACCCTATGTTGCTATGTTTTCCTGGTGTAAAACTGTCTGTGTCATCACCCCCTTAATTATCCATACCATTTGATAATTGATTTTAGAACAAATCATAAATAGATTTTATCTCACATGAATTTCAGTAATATTTTTGGTGTGTGTGTGTGTGTGTGTGTATGTGGGTCACTGGAGTGTTAACAAGGATTCTGAGCCTGGAGCTGTGTTTCCTGGGGGAAGTCCCATTAGAAGAAGTGCCGGCGGTTGGGGATAGCAATCCCCCTGCCATGTCTTCACAAGGCGTAATCTAGAGGAAAGTATGGTGATGGCAACAGGGAAGAGCTCTCTGAAGGTTTTGACCTAAATACAAGTCAGCTGAAATAGTTTTCGTTTTCATTCAGTGGGTGGAACCGTTGGTTTTCCAGTCACGTTCCCCAGCAGTTTGGATGCAGCACCTCTGTGAATACAGAGAACAAGAGAGGTGGCCCTCTGCACAGGGTTTGAACCTCTCATCCACGTTGTGGATGTCTATACTGAGTTGGGCTTCATGACACAGCAAGGGATTGGAAGTCCTTCCAGTGTAAATATTTTCCAGTGGTCATTTCAGAGGTAATTTAAGCTGCTGCAACAGGAGCTAAAATGGGACTCTCCTAGCATAGCAGATAAATTTCTGTATATATTAATAACCTGGAAACTAGATTTGTACATTGGGAACCAGAGTGTGCTCAAAAGTGGCCAACAGGCCTCACCCACCACCAGGCTGGTCCCATGACCGACAGTTCATTTTACAAGTACATGTCACATCGTGCACAAGGGAGAAGGCATTCGGCCGTCTTGTTTGCGGCATCTTTCCTTAGGGAGAAACTAAAGCATGACCTGTGATTTTATCCATCGAAATCACTTGTTCCTGCTGTTGTTAGTTGCCACTGAGAGGAGCCCTGGTGGTGTAGTGGTTGTGTGCAGGGCTGCTAACCGCAAGGTCAGCAGTTCGAAACGACCAGCTTCTCCTCCCCGGCAGAAAGTCGGGCCTTTCTATTCCCATAATGACTTACAGTCTCGAAAACTCATACGAGCGCTTCTACCCTGTCCTACGGGGTCGCTATGAGTTGGCATCGACTTGGTGGTAGAGAACTGCCATTGAGTTGACTCCCGTTGGTGGTAACCTTATATACAACACAGGGCAACATGCTGGGGCAGGAACGAAGCATCGTGACACCATCAACAGCACGCCCGCTCCCTAAACAATGTCCCTGGATCATCTTGTGCATCAGCTTGTGTGCCGGTTGGCCCAGCCTCAGAGCCCCTCACTACGTCACAAGCAACAGGTCACACATGAAAAGCCTATGCTTCCCCAGTAGGCCCCCTGGAGGTGCACTGTTTGCCCTTCACGACTCACCTCCTTGCCCCTGACTGCTTGGTCCCTGAGTGGGCAATTGGAATCCACCCAGCAATACCATGGAAGAAAGGCCTGGCAGTCTGCTTCTGTAAAGGTAACAGCAAAGAAAGCCCCACAGAGCTATTCTCTGAAACCCACGGGGGCACCATGAGATGGGACCTGCTAGGTGGCAGTGGGATGTGAAACCTGCACCACTCCTGAATTCTCTCCTCCTGGTTGCCGAGTGCAGTCTGGTCTCAGGTCCCTGAGCTGCTGGCAGACCAGGGGTCGTGCACCGCTGTGCCCTTCCTCTTCCCTGCTGTCCCAGTCCCCTCACTGTCCTGCACACCAAAGCAAACACTGCCATCAAGACAGTTCCAACTCACAGTGACCCTATAGGACAGGGTGGAACTGCCCCAGGGGGTTTCCGAGGCTACAGATCTTTACCAGAGTATTGAGAAGTTACGTAATCTTTCTCCCGAGGAGCAGCTGGTGGGTTCAAACTACCTTGTGGTTAGTAGTCCAATACGTAACCCACTATGCCACCAGGCCACCTCTTCTTGCCCGGCTTAATCAGTGCTTGGTATACTCGTGGGCAGAGCCTAAACACTCACTCTCATCAAAGAGCTATCAAGTGAAGATTAATACTGAAACAGGGTGTCACCGGCTTCTTCTTTGCATCTGAATTTCTAACATAAAGGAGCGATTGATTGGCTGCCAAGCTCACAGGTCCTCTTTAATAGCTCTGGCCTGGCCAGTTTGAGTCAAACCAGAGGTCACCTCAAGATGAGAGGTGAGGTCATTCAGCAGAGTGAACTGTCAGACCCTGGGTTACTTGTGACTCATGGGACTCTGGGCAACATGAAAAGATCTGTTTTCAAGTGTGCGTTTCGTTTTTGTCTTACAGCATCAAGCTTCTAGCCGTGCAAGAGCTGCTTGACAGAGAGGCCTTGGACAAGGTAAATGTTTTGCTCGATTTACATCCTTTCCACATTCACAAACGTGCAAACGGCGTCCCTGAAGAGGCTGTGGGCCCCTTGGTGCCACACAGAATTTGGTCTGTCGTGTTGTATTCATAGCCGTCCGCGGAGTCCCAGGTGGGACTCACTGCTAGCCAAAAAGGTTAGGGGTTCAAGGTCACCAGGAGTGCCTTGGGAGAAAGACCTAGGATCTTTGTCTAAAAAACCAACCACTGAAAACCCTAGGAAGCACAGCTGTACTCCGACGTGGGGTCACACGCACTCTGTCCGGTCCACAGCTGGTCTAACAGAGACTCTTGCCCTTGAGAATGTGCCATCAAAACTCACCACATCATTCTCGTCCCTTTGACCCTTAACAATGCTCGTTGCCCTGGCTCCTTCAGGGTAGTGGGGAAAGCAGAGGCTTGCCCTACCGGGGACTGTAACACCTTCCCTGTGTGTGAGCTAGCACTGCCATCGCTGCTTGATGTGTGTTATCATCCGTTCAGGAACCCAGGGCTAGAGGCCCAGCGCAGTGAGGCAGCCGGCCCGAGGAAAGTGAACACAGAGGCCGAGTTGGGATCCGAACTTCAGTCATTCCATTTCCCAACACAGTGCTTCTCTGTTCAACAAACAAGTTCACGAGTTTGAGCCCCTTTTTAGGCTCTTCCTGAGGATTGGGGAAGGCCATTGCTATGCCCAAGCTAATTGTGCACTGTCCCCTGGAAGAGTTAAGTCCTGTGTGTAGGTGTTGTTGGGTCAAGCTCACACCTGGGAATCCTTTGTTGTGAATTCTGTGGGTGAGGCAGGTGGGGCTTCAGGAAGCAGGTGGAGCAGGTGCTGAGACCACGTTCTCCCACACACACCCCACACCCACTGTCATGTGCCTGGCCCTGGCTGCTCCCGCTCTGCCCTTCAGCCCATCCATGCCTCCCAGCTCATGCCTAGGAGCTGCCCTGGGCTAGTGTCTCAGTGCTCAGTGCTGCTGGGGCAGAAATACCACAAGTGGGTGGCTTTAGCAAATAGACAATGATTTCCCTCTCAGTTAAGGAGGCCACAAGTCTGGATTCAGGGCCCCCAACCTAGGGCAGGACTGTTGATTTGGGTGGGGTGGGGGGGTCCATGTCCTCTGTTTCTGCAGCCCGGGCTTCCCTCTGTCCTTTGGCGAGCCCCACCTGCCGCCTGCCTTCTCTCCCTTTGTGCTTGCTTGCCCTGCAACTCGGCTGCCCTTTTGTATCTCAAACGCGATTTGATCTTAAGGTACATGTGGTACTGTAATGGCTCATGAACCAACGAAGAAAACCCTGGTCCCCAATAATGAGAGTAGTGATACCAGCAGGGGAAGGGGAAGGTGGAGGAAGAAAGGGGAAACCGATCACAATGATTGACATATAACCCCTCCCCCAAAGGGGACAAACAGCAGAAAAGTGGGTGAAGGGAGACAGTGGTTGGTGGAAGACATGAACAAATAATAATTTATAAATTATCAAGGGTTCATGTGGGAGGGAGGAAAATGAGCTGATACCAAGGGCTCAAGTAGAAAGAAAATGTTTTGAAAATGATGATGGCAACACATATACAAATGTGCTTGACACAATGGATGGATGGATAGATGGATGGATTGTGATAAGAGCTGTACAAGCCCCCAATAAAATGATTTTGAAAAAAGAAAGAAAACCCTGGTCCAAAGTGGGATGGCATCCTCAAATAGTAAAGAGGACTCCAGCATGTATTTTGAGGAAGACACAATTCAATTCACACAGGCAACCTGGGACTCTTCCTGAGTGGGTAGCTGTGGCTATTGATTATAAAATACTTAACATTAGCATAAAAGAAAGTGGGGAGAGGGACATAAGCACTGTCAGGCTGTGTTGTCTATAGAAACAGAACCATTGACACGTGTATACGTATAAGAAATAACTCCAAATCACAAAGTAATTGAACATCAAGAAGGCATCCCGGCCCAGTTGAACTTGAGTGTATGGGTCCGACGCCAGCCGGAGCACTCTTCAGACTTACATAGTAGCACAGAAGGTAAGGCAGGATGCAGGAAGATCACAGGATGGTGGGTGCAGGTAAGTGCGGACCCAAGGTCAGTGGAAACATGGCAGGGTGCCAATGTTTCTCAGAGTTGGGCAGCCCACATGGGGCTACCCCTGGACACAGGCCAGCCCTAGCAAGCAGGAAGGCAAAGGAGCAGGGGGTGGGGGTGAGGGGCCCCAGTGTCTCTCTTACAGAAAGACCACACCTCCCAGGGGGCATCATCAGGCTGTGCCCTGTTTGACAGGTCAGACCCCACTCCTACGCAAGGGCGAGTTGACATAAAATCTAACTGCTACAGCAGCTGAACTATGTAATTTTTCCCCCTCCCTTCTTGCCTCCCTCCCTCCGTTATTTTCTTTTAAGAATGTAAAATGCTTAAACTGGTGCTGAGTCCGTTGGTGGACACAAAAGACAACGTTTTAAAACGAAGAAGGGAACAGTGATGGGAGGAAGGGGTCTGGGCTTGGCTCTGTGTTGGACGTCCCTCCAGCCTCAGTTCCAACATGGTTAAAACAGGAGGGGCTACATGAGAATCAAATGAGTTACTATAACGATAAGGCTTTCTAAACACCAAGGCACTCTACTCCTGTTAATTCGTAATCAATTATATGAATTCTTAATATGCATCTAGCCATTGAGAAGACTACTAAAGTGCATTATTGGGCCAGCGATAATATAGATGGCAAATTAAAGTGTTATTGATGTTAGTTTCACTGAAGTTGGCCATTGTCTTCTAAAGATGCAAGGGAGCAGCCTTGTACATGGGAATTCTACACGGACAGATTGAGGACTGAAGGAGGAGGATATGTACAGCTTGTTGTGACATAATTCAGGGGGAAAGTGGATGTACGCAGACCTCACCTACAAAACCCACAATGACTAAGGCAAAAGAGCCCAAGGAAGAAGAATGAACACAAATGGTGAAGCAACACCAGCAAGGGCAAACACCAAGTCAGCCTGCACCGACAGCTGGGACAGGTCCTCCTATGGTCTTCAAGCTCTAAACAATTAACCGCAGAATTCTCATCTCAGTATGCAGTCAGTGAATTTATTTGTTTCACTCCTCCATGAGGGGCTAGAAACATTGGTCAGACCTTTTCCCGCAGTGGTAATACAATATCTGATTTGGGATTACCTCAAGGAGCCCTGGTGGTGGCTTAGTGGGTTACACATTGCATCGCTAATTGCAAGGTCAGCAGTTTGAAACCAGTAGCCATTCCAAGGGAGAAAGATAAGGCTTTCCACTTTGTATAATTAAGATTGCTCTTCCATACATGAAAGCCAAGATAGATAACCTTTCAGAAACAGTAACAGGAGTAATGATTCCCTGAGGAAACGGGAAGGGGAGTGCAGCTGATAGCAGTGATGACTGTATAACCCCACTAGAGGGGAGGGAACAGCAGAATTATATGTAAATGGATATATTGGATGGTGTAAGATGTGGAAAAAAATAAAATAAGAGTTCCTGGGGGTAGGGGGAATGGAGGGGATAAACGGGAGCTGATATCAAGGAGGTCAGGTAGAAAGAAAATCTTTGGAAACTGTGGTAGCAATTGTACAATACTGCTTGATAATGATTGAACTATGGAATGTTATGGTATCTATAAGAGCTCCCAATAGAAAGATTTAAACAAAAGACTAACAGTCTTGGAAACCCACAGGTGTCAGTTCTGTACTCTGTTCTATGGGGTCACCATCAGACAGAAGTGACTCCTCTCAGTACTTCACTTTCACAGTCTGTAAAATGGGAATCACCATCATCCTCAACTCACAGAGCTGTGGGGAGCTGAAGCAGACCGCTTGCATAAAGGATTTTGCACCAAGCCTGACCTTTGCCGGCCCCCTGGAAGCTCGTTGCAGCATGTGTTCTTTCCCTCCTCCATCGTCCTGCTTTGGTCAGTGTGCAGGGGCCACCTGGGAGTCATGTGCCCCCCTTTCTTCTTTCGTTTGTTCATTTGTTCATTTTTGCCACAGACACTTGAGTTTTCTATGTGGAATGCAAATAGTAAACATTGCCAGAAAAATCCAGAAGCAACTAGTCATCCTGGGCTTGGAAACCAGATGCATTGTGAATGACACCTTGATATATTGCTTGATGATGATGATGATGATGATGATGATGATGATGATGATGATGATGATGAAAGGTCCCTTTTATATGTTAAGGAGACCTGGTGGCATTGCCGGGTAAGCAATGGACTCCTAGCTACAAGGTAGTGGTTTAAGGAAACCAGCCGCTCTGCAGGAGAAAGATGAGGCTCTCTGTTTCAATGCAGATTTACAGGCTTGGACGTCAAACATGGGGTCACTATGAGCCGGCATCAGTTTGACAGCCATGTGGAGGATGGGTTGCTTTTATGTTGGAATAAAACATGTTCCCCAGCGAACCTTATGACTAACAGATTTTTTTTCCCCTGGACAAGTTGGAGCACCACCAAGGAAAGTGCTTCGTAAACTTGTATAGTGTTCCTACTCACAGGGTGGTTTCACATATCAGAAGCCTGTTAGAAAGGGCGACCCTCAGCCCCCTTCCCCAGGCCCCCTGAGTCACAGTCTGCACTTTCATGAGACCCCAAGTGGCCCATGCTGCTTAGCATCTGAGAAGTGCTGCGTGGAGTATCATTTATCATCTCTGTCTCTGCTGCTGATAACTCCATCTTCAGAAAGCATTTGTGCCTTTTGCTTCCACAGCCAATTAAGTTCTCTTTTCATGCCCCAAATCAGAAAAACGTAGGCCATATCATTCTAATTCCAAGAACGATTCTTCAGTTTATCTACTGTACCTCTTTTTATTAAGAGTATACCAAACCCAAACCCACAGCCAGGAGGGTTCAAACCACCGATCTTTAGGCTAGTAAAACCAAAAACCGAACCCAGCAACCCTCTGTAGGCTTTCTGAGGTAGTATATCTGCATGGGCACAAATAGCCTCATCTTTCTCCTGCGGAGCATCTGGTG